GAGCCTGAGAAGCCCAGCCCTGAGAGGGTGGAAAGGAGGATCTGATGGTTCACGGTGTTGAAGGCAGCGGATAGATCTAGAATTGTCAGCTTTGGCAGTGCAGAGGGCCTCCGTGACACAGAGAAAAGCAGTCTCAGTTGAGTGACCCGTTTTGAGTGACCCGGGATACAGAGAGAGGGGAGAAAGAGGTCAACGCGTAGGGTAGTTCTGTGTGATTGAGACCAGTGGACTCAATAGGCTGAGTGAATGAGTAGCGGATGTCGTCAACCTTTTTTTCAAAGTGGTTGACAAAGTCGTCCGCAGAGAGGGAGGAGGGAGGGGGTGGAGGACTAAGGAGGGAGGAGAAGGTAGAAAATAGTTTCCTAGGGTTCGAGGCAGAAGCATGAAATTTAGAGTGGTAGAAAGTGGCTTTAGCAGCAGATACAGAGGAAGATAAGGTAGAGAGGAGGGAGTGAAAGGATGATTTGTCCTCTGGAAGTTTAGTTTTCCTCCAATTTCCGTTCAGCTGCTCGCAGCCCTGTTCTGTATGCTCGCAATGAGTCACTCAGCCACGGAGCAGGAGGGGAGGGCCGGCCGGGAGGAAAGGGGACAGTGCGAGTCATAGGATGCGGAAAGGGAGGAGAGTAGGGTCGAAGAGACAGGAGGGAGAAGGATTTAGCAGAAGGGAGAGATGATAGGATAGAAGAGGAGCGAGTAGTGGGAGAGAGAGAGCGACGGCGCATGACCATCTGGGTAGGGGCTGAGTGGCTAGGGTTGGATGAGAGGGAGATAGAAAAGGAAACAAAGCAGTGATCGGAGACCTGGAGGGGGGTTGCAGTGAGATTAGTAGGCGAGCAGCCTCTAGTAAAGATGAGGTCAAGTGTATTGCCTGCCTTGTGAGTTGGAGGGGATTGGAAAAGGGTGAGGTCAAAAGAGGCAAGGAGGGGAAAGAGAGAGTTGGAAAGAAATTAATCGAAGGCAGATGTCGGGAGGTTGAAGTAGCCAAGTACGAAGAGCGGTGAGCCATCGTCAGGAAATGAGCTTATCAATTTGTCAAGCTCATTGAGGAACTCTCCAAGGGCACCTGGTGGGCGATAGATGACAATAATGTTAAGCTTGAGTGGACAAGTGACAGTTACAGCATGGAATTCAAATGAGGAGATGGACAGGTGAGAGAGGGAGAAAAGAGAAAATCTCCACTTAGGAGAAATGAGTAGCCCTGTGCCACTACCGGGTAGGCAACTAGATTCAGCCGCAGTCCGATTTTTGTCTGAGTGGATGGTCAGGAACATATAATTATACAATAATTTGTAGACCGCAAATTGACCACAACTAAGCCCAAAAAGAGATTGTATTTTAAAAAATAACAATAATTTCATACCTTGATTACATTGAGACATGATCACATATGCCTCCTTTTGTATTTGTGGGAATACTTGGTGAACTGATTTCCTAAATGAAACATTTTTTGGTGAATTCCTGGTGATTTTAGTATTTTTTAAACAAAATAAATAATTCACGGGCTGGTTTTGTCCCGCGGGGCGCCTGTTGCCGATGTCTGCTCTACACTATACCCCCCCAACCTGCTCTCTCCATCTCTTCCTCCCTCTCTCACCCTTCTCCTTCTCGTTCCCTTTCCATGTCCCTCTCTGTGTGGTGGGGTAATCCTGCTAAACCCTCTCTCTTAATGCAGCCCCAGTGTACGTACTGAGCCTTAGTCAGCAGCACATCTAATCAACTGGAACCCCCGCTACAGCCCTGCCTGGACACTCTCTCAGCCTTGGGCTCAGCTTTGGTCTCACCTCCCTCCACACCCCCTCACGCACCACTTCACCTCTCCAGCCATACACACAGACACGTAGCCCCAGCACTAGCCTATCCTGCTCTCTGACGCAAAAACAACAGCAACAATCCGCTACTCACGATACCCAATCACCGTGCCACACATTGCTCCGACATGGGCGAACACAATTGGTGGAGGGATGGGGGTGAGGGAAGGAGAGTGAGGGGGCTTGGTGGGAAGCAGGGAGCAGCGGCGAAAGCTCAACAGTGCATTAGGGACAGCGCGGTGTGATTCGTTCCATTCACAGCACTTCAAAAGGAGAGGGAGAGATAATCCGCCCCAACATTAGCCCGGAATCGTATGTCCGCAGAGGCTCCCCTGAATGGCTAACTGGGGGGGGGGGGGGGAGGACTGGGGTTGGGAGATGGAGGGATTTTTAAATTTGCCATTAAATCAGAGATGATTGGAACATGCCAGTCTCCTTCGAAAAGAAGATCCTCATCCCCGGGCAGGGGACAGAAGAAAGAGAGATGCCTACCGTACCACCAGAAACGAAACTGTCTTCAACATCTTCCCTCTATGATACTCAGTCAAAGGCTACAAATATATTTATAGTAAGAGAAAGGGTCTCAAATGTACCACTGGTGATCTTCAGCATAGTTTCTCCTTGATCGTAAATATTGTTGAAAGTGGAGGTTTAGTAGCCTCCTGCTCTCTTGACTCCTTATGGAATTGTCATGCAAATCATGTTTGACTTGACAATGACAATGGCGTAGGCAAAAGCACAAACAGATCTGGGACCAAGCAGATCTGGGACCAAGCAGATCTGGGACCAAGCAGATCTGGGACCAAGCTAAAGGTGTAGTAGCAGAGAGAGAAGAAACAAGAAGCCAGCACCAGTTCACTCTGAAACACACAGTGACATGTCAACAGCTTCCCTCTATGTCTACCATACTCACAGGCTAAAATACATTTATAGTCAGAGAAAGCCTCAAATCAAACAACTAAATCTTCTGGATTGAATGTCCTCCTCCTTGATGACAGTAAATATCACTGATTTGGAGGTATATTAACCCCCTAAGGTCGATGTAAAAAGAAATCAGTTTAAGCTAGAGATATCTGGTTTTTGCATTGGATGCATCTCAAGCCACCGCATCCGCCTATGTCACACTTCCGCGTCTGCGGTGAAAGGTGACAGAGCTTGAGCAGTGTTTAAAAAAAAAAAAAATCTTTAGGGGGTAGATCAGCTTGAGACATCCCGAAAATCTGTCTTCTCACAAAATTGTCTGTAGCGTCCGAACAGTTTGACCTACAAACTATTATGACCCCTCTAGAGATGAGAGACTCACGAACACGTTGATGTTCTCCGTTTTGCTCTACGACCTCCACAAGTGTCAGGAGACTTGTCTGAAGTCGGTACAGCCGATCTGCCAACTTCTGTCTGTAGCGTCCGAACAGTTTGGGCTACACACTAATATGACCCCTCTGTACAAAGGTGAGACTCTCACGAACATGTCGGTTGTTTTACTCTAGGACACAAGCCTCACAAGACTCGTCTGAAGGTCCCCCGGTACCAGTTGGAAAACTTAATGGAAGTATACAGTATATAGAGACTGTTTAATGCCAAAAATATGGGGTTAAATACATGTAAAAAAAAAAAAATTGTTTCCTGATCTTTCTTATATCTCTCAGATATAGGAGAGACAACTCAGAACAAACTTCCTTTTGATATTTTTTGGGGACTATCTGTTGTTCCATGTAGTGAATCTGTTATTTAATTTATTTTTTATTTTCTATACACACACACACACACACCTCCTCCCCCAGCTTAGACTCTGATGGGTTAAAACCCTTCTGCCAATAAGGTGCCAATAGAAGATCAAATTATCAATACACCTGATCAGTGCCTGGCTGAAACTTAACACTCAACGACTGTCCACCATAAGAAGACCTGAGAGAGAGAGCGAGCGAGCGAGCGCGAGAGAAGACCAATAGGAGGTTATCCAGGCCCATCAATGCATTAAGCCTATAGTAGTGTTGTCACGATAAAATTGCCTGTGCAACAGGACTGGAGAAAGTCATTTGCAATGTACTGTATCCATAATAATACTGTAATGAATGTCTATTTCGCGCGCACACACACACACACACACACACACACACACACACACCTAGAGCCATCAGGGATAGACCCATCGTTGGGTGAAAGCCTGTACTGTATAAATGAAAGGGAATACAACCACATCACTGGAGACAGACATAGCAATCTATAAAAACAACTGTTCACTTGGATGTTCTTTTCTACTGCTCTGTCTCCAGCGGGTCTTGTTGCTATGTATGTTGCTAACGAATGAGCGGTCCCTTTCATAACATATTGTGGGAGTGTTATGTGACAGAAAAATAGCAGACATTTGTTCATTAGCCCTTAACTCTTTCAGCCACAATCCTTCACTCTTCTCTGATTGAAGAGGACCAACACCTGTCCACAGGCAATCCACTCTATAGGCATCCACTACAGGGAAGGAAAGGTTGCATCGTAAGGTAATAGGTACAAGTGCCATGTTGAGTGGGTAGAAAACATCTGGTTGACTTCACCATAAGCACAATATAGGGCTGAAGGGTTCAATTAAATTCATGTCATTTTTACCTGCGAGGAACTAGTAGAGAAGCTTCTATGTATACGACGACGTGAGTAAGGGCTGTAGTTCATTAACACAGATATACACAGCATAGCCCAAACACTGCTAGGCACATTTGATTGAATCTGGCCTATTACACTGACTAAGTACTAGATCAGATATTTCACTATGGGAGAACCGAACACGAAGGTAGAGAGCTCCCCATTCACCTGAAATGACCTTTTAATCTTGCTATTTAATCAGCTCATTATCAAGACACCCTGACTGCTCAAATTCGCTGAATGTTCAAAATCTTGGGCTTACAGAATCAATGAACCTGCCTGGAGGATCACTCAGTAGCAGTAGCAGTAGCAGTAGCAGTAGCAGTAGCAGTAGCAGTAGCAGTAGCAGTAGCAGTAGCAGTAGCAGTAGCAGTAGCAGCAGCAGCAGTAGCAGCAGCAGTAGCAGCAGAAGCAGCAGTAGCAGTAGCAGCATGGCTGTTTAATCCACACAGCAAACACAGAAATCACTGCCCCTGAAGTTTTTCTCCTCTCTCTCACCTCTCCCTTGCTGGCTCATTAAACCAGTGAGCGTGGCAAATTAAAAAGAGCTCCTTGTCACATGCCCGCCCGGGTGCCACACCACTGGGAAGACAGGGAGGAAACCACTCTACTTAAACACTTCCTACTTCCTGCTCAGTTCAACCAATGTCTCTTGCTGAGGGGTGTATTAACTAGACCTACCCAGCACCAGCCCTCAAGTCACTACTGTTCAAACAATCAGGGTAGTCAGGGGATAGAGAAGAGGTACTCAGGTGGCCGTCCTATCGTGTCTGGTCACATAACATTGGCTGCCATTTTCTTTTCATTTCCCGACGATTCTACAACCCAGCAGGTGACCTACTGCACACGGCCGTGAGGCTACCTACATGAACCACAACTCCAGCCACCCAATCAGCTAGACAGGGGTAGTGGTGGTGCTAGTGGTAATCTCTGTGGAAGCTCAGATCAAAACATATATTAGGCCTAGCTCAATCCACTACTGTTTGTTAGTGTACACTCAGAAATGCTGATGTTATAGAGACTGAAGACAAGGGCGTGCAGGGTGGGGTGGGGGTGGGAGCGTCACTCAGCAGCAGCGGGGATGCATCACTAATGGCATCCTATTCCCTTGATAGTGCACTACTTTTTACCAGGGCTTATAGGTCCCATTAAAAAAAGCAGTGCATGATTAAGGGAATAGGGTTCTATTTGGGACGCATCCCAAAAATACAATCCTCCACTGATTCAGGTTAAGAGGATATACATTAATTTCCAATAGCCAGTTAACAATGCATTACAGCATATAGAGAGCTGTGATGTTGAGCTGTGATAACCTGATAAAGGCCCGGGCCAACGCATGCATCCTTAGGTCTAACAACGGCAGGACTCAGGAGGGAGATCTATAGGAGGGAATGGGATCGGCAGCGGCTGCGGGACAAACACGGGCATCACTCAAACTAAAGGCCCTGTGGCTAAGTGGAGGGCCCGAATGGAAGAGGAGCTCTGGATGCATCCATCCACCCTTTGAGGTTATTAGGGAGCCTATAACAGAGTAGAGCCCTGCACGGCCATGAATTTGAAGGCTGAGCCCTACCCATGCCCGCGACATTCAGGCCCTACCCTACCCAGGCCCAATTGCTTCTGCCAAATTTAAAGCCCTGCCCGAAACCCGAAATCAGAAATAACTTCCTACGTTAGTAAATCCATTAGCTGCTCCTCTCTGTCTGTCACTCGCTCCCTGTGTGCAGGCAGCTCGCTCTGCATGCACTCTGCTCATGGTGTCTCTGAGTCAGTGAGTAACCATAGCAATGGCTCCGGCTGCTCTGCTCAACGAAGAAACATGAGAGCAGTGAGCTGTAAGCTACATTTGCACGAGCAAATGGCTCAGCTTCAAAATGTTAGTGATCAATTTAGTGATACCCGAGACCTACCCGTACCCTAGTTAATGATGAAACCCAGCCCTAACCCAATGTATAGTGTTGGGGCCCATCGGGCTCAGGTCGAGTAGCAGAGCTCTACCACAGAGGGTGTAGGTGCAGTGTGTGTGGCCCAGGGGACCACTGAGTGTGACTGCTCAACCTCCATCGCCAACCTGGTCATTAATCAGCCATTTGGACCTAGTTAGCTGCCTGCCTCTCTCCCCTCTACTCTACTCTGCTTCACACAACATACTGTATTGGAGCCTTGCCTGCTGCAGCCCAGGATTGTTTTCTATGGGGAGGCTGCATGGGGCATCCGGAGGAGACAGTATAGGGCAGGATACCCCGGGACTCAGTCAAACTACATGACGGACAGTCTCAGAGGAGAAGAGAGCTAGGACTGAACTGGAGTCTGGTGTAAATGTATATGGATGAGTCATAGTACTGAAACATTATTCAGCCAAAGCCTTTTCACTGTCCGCTGAATTGATGCCCCAGGCAGACTAGATTTTGTAAGCCATACAGATGGACAGACAGAGCAACACATACACATCATTACAACATTAAATCAATCTACACACACACACACACACACACACACACACACACACTGTCCCCTCTCCCCTCCCCGGCCCAGCCTGCCACTCACCCTCTCTAGGTCCTGGCGTAGGTGTGTGAACAATTTGAGGCGTCGGTACAGCACGTCCTGCTCCTGCTGAGCCAGGTTATCTATCTCGTCTCTCTTCAGCGTCACCAGTGGACGGTTGAAGTTGGACTTCCTCCTCAGCTTCCAGAACTGGTACAGGAAGTCCACGTGGGCATCCGGCAGGCCCAGGCTCTCCGCCACGTCCTTGGGGTCCACCAGGCGGTAGAACTCGTCCTCCAGCTCCTGTAGTTTCTGTTTGCGCTGGCTGGCCTTCTCCCTCTCTATCTGGTCCCTGTCTGGACGCTCCACAGGTGGCAGCTCGCTGGTCGCTTGGTGGTGTTCCGGCACGGCGGTGGCTCTGTGCTCGTTGCCGAGACCGGCCCAGTCCGTTTTGCTGCTGGCACCAGCGCAGTGGTTGCCGTTGGTGTGGTTACTGTTGCCGGTCATGGTGTTGGTGTGGTTAATATTGCCGGCGGCAGCGTGGTTACAGTTGCCGGTAGTGCTGCTGTGCTCCAGACAGTATGATTTGAAGCGCACCTCGTCATTCTCGGCCAGGATGGTACGCATCTCCAGGCCGTGGTCAAAGGAGCAGGTCACATGGAAGGCCACAATACAGGAGGGCATGGAGCACTGGGGAGGGAGGGAGGAAGGAGGAGTAAGTATTCATATTTACATATTCAACACTGCTTAAAAATGGTTAAACACACAAAGATGACAAGGTACACAGTCACAACAGTAGGGTAAACAATAGTTTTTCTCTGATGATGCTGGCCTCACACAAACAGAAACGTGTTAATGACTGCTAAGCAACACTGTCACAACTCCTTCCTCTGCCACCACAGTGTGCGTAACGAAGAATGTGTTCAGAGAAATGTCTGTTCTGGAAAACTTATTGTAACCGTCTGCCTCTGTCCAGTCTATCCCAGACAGACAGGAGCTCTTGTCCTGTGGGCAACACGGTCAAAACAAACATTGGTTCCCATGTTGTCACAAACCCTGATTTGTCTGTGCCGCCCTCATAACAACCACAGTCTAAAATCAAACCTCTGTTCTTGCCTTTCCTCAGGCCTATCCATTTCAAACCTCAGACTGGTCCCATGAGGGGATGGGGGGAGGAGGGATAGGGGAGAGGAGGGATGGAGGAGAGGAGGGATGGAGGCTAGCAGTGTTTTCCATTCCATCAGAGAGCAGCAGAACAAGAGGCCCACATTTTCTAAGGGCCTGGGATGACAACGACAGGCATGGGCTGCGTCCCAAATGGCACCCTATATAGTGCACTACAGAGGCCCAACTCACAAAGTAGTGCACTATGTAGGGAATAGGGTGCCATTTGGGACTTAGCCAGTGTGTCCCTGTGGCTTATGATGCGCTACAGAGGTCCAATATAGGGAATAGTGTGCCATTTGGGACGTCTCAGTCTCTTTCCCTCTCTCGCTACCTAGGCCGAGAGGAGCCCACTTCGCTCCGACCCACTCCTCTCCCCATTCCAACCCATTCTTTCTCTCCATCTCTCCTTCCCTCCCCCCATCACAGTAGAATATCCCACTTATCTCAGTGGCAGTCTCTCTCCCGAGGGTTGGGAGCCCCTCAGGTTCTGTCAGCCATGATGAGGAGAGAGATAAGCCACAACTGGAAATCACTATTCCTCATGTCTTCAGCCTGCAGCTTGGTAATGCCCTCAACACCAACGCCGCTAGACGTTAAATGGAAGTAGTTCTCTCCAGTCCAAATATATGACAGTCTGGTGGATAGGATCCCGATACTGTACAAGCTCTGATGCTTTACTGCAATCTTACTGGACCTTATCCCTTTAATGCTAACTTTATGGGAGTAAGTACCAGACCAGATCCCAAATTCCCTATATAGCGCACTAACTAAAGCAGCCATTTGGGACACATCCTTATTGATGAGCTACATTATAAATGATTAGTATATGAATCTAATAATCCACCAATAAAACATTAAATCATAATTTGTCAGACAGTGATTCAACACGTGTGGTTAGTTAGTGCAACCGGTTTCAGTTGTTTGGTGTCAAACGGGCAAAGCTTGATATCAGGGGATGTGTCGATTCTTTCTGAGCCTCATGACCTGCCATCTCTCTAAGTCCTATGTGTTCACACCAAACGTACTGGTATTTTAATATGTACAGTATAGGATGATATCCAGGCTCTGTCGCAGCCGGCCGCGACCGGGAGACTCATGGGCGGCGCACAATTGGCCCAGCGTCGTCTAGGGTAGGGGAGGGAATGGCCGGCAGGGATGTAGCTCAGTTGATAGAGCATGGCGTTTGCAACGCCAGGGTTGTGGGTTCGATTCCCACGGGGGGCCAGTATAAAAAAAATATATGTAATCACTAACTGTAAGTCGCTCTGGATAAGAGCGTCTGCTAAATGACTAAAATGTAAAATGTAAATGTAAATATGTGCCGCTAATGAGGAACTCATTGTCACACCTTCAGGGCTTCTTTAACAACCGAAGGTACACTGACATGCTAAAATGAAAAAGGGGGGTTACTGGAGTGTGTGAGTGTTAAGTATCGTGATATCATATTATGAGGTCCCTGCCAATTCCTAACCCTAGTGTGTGTGTGTGTGTGTGTGTGTCTCACCTGTATGCAGGTGCCCGTGTGTTCTCGACACAGGCTGCAGGACAGGGCCCAACGGCTGGCGGGAATGTGGGACACCTTAGTAATGGGCTCCATCTTCTCCGGACAGCCTATACTCACCTGGATACCATACACACACACACACACACGCAATGTCAACACAGATGTGTCTTACAAGACGTTAATACAGACAGTCACATCACCTACAGTACAAGTCAAAAGTTTAGGCACACCTACTCATTCAAGGGTTTTTCTTTATTTTTACTATTTTCTACATTGTAGAATAATAGTGAACATATCAAAACTATGAAATAACACATATGGAATCATGTAGTAACCAAAAAAGTGTTAAACAAATCAAAATTTATTTTAGATTTTAGATTCTTCAAATAGCCACCCTTTGCCTTGATGAAAGCTTTGCACACTCTTGGCATTCTCTCAACCAGCTTCAACAGGAATGCTTTTCCAACAGTCTTGAAGGAGTTCCCACATATGCTGAGCACTTGTTGACTGCTTTTCCTTCACTCTGCCGTCCGACTCATCCCAAACCATCTCAATTGGGTTGAGGTCGGGGGATTGTGGAGGCCAGGTCATCTGATGCAGCACTCCATCACTCTCCTTCTTGGTAAAATAGCCCTTAGCCTGGAGGTGTGTTGGGTCATTGTCCTGTTGAAAAACAAATGATAGTCCCACTAAGCCCAAACCAGATGGGATGGCGTATCGCTGCAGAATGCTGTGGTAGCTATGCTGGTTAAGTGTGCTTTGAATTCTAAATAAATCACAGACAGTGTCACCAGTAAAGCACCCCCACACCATAACACCTCCTCCTCCATGCTTTACGGTGGGAACTACACATGCGGAGGTCATCCATTCACCCACACCGCGTCTCACAAAGACACAGCGGTTGGAACCAAAAATCTCAAATTTGGACTCCAGACTAAAGGACTAATTTCCACCGGTCTAATGTCCATTGCTCGTGTTTCTTGACCCAAGCAGCTCTCTTCTTCTTATTGGTTTCCTTTAGTAGTGGTTTCTTTGCAGCAATTCGACCATGAAGGCCTGATTCACACAGTCCCCTCTGAACAGTTGATGTTGAGATGTGTCTGTGACTTGAACTCTGTGAAGCATTTATTTGGGCTGCAATTTCTGAGGCTGGTAACTCTAATGAACCTATCCACTGCAGCAGAGGTAACTCTGGGTTTTCCATTCCTGTGGTGGTCCTCATAAGAGCCAGTTTCATCATAGCACTTGATGGTTCTTGCGACTGAAACTTTCAAAGTTCTTGAAATGTTCCGTATTGACTGACCTTCATGTCTTAAAGTAATGATGGACTGTCGTTTCTCTTTGCTTATTTGAGCTGTTCTTGCCATAATATGGACTTGGTCTTTTACCAAATAGGGCTAACTTCTGTATACCCCCCTACCTTGTCACAACACAACTGATTGGCTCAAACGCATTAAGGAGGAAATAAATTCCACAAATTAACTTTTAAGAAGGCACACCTGTTAATTGAAATGCATTCCAGGTGACTACCTCATGAAGCTGGTTGAGAGAATGCCAAGGAGTGTGCAAAGCTGTCATCAAGGCAAAGGGTGGCTATTTGAAGGATCTCAAATACAGTTGAAGTTGGAAGTTTACATACACCTTAGCCTAATACAGTTAAACTCAGTTTTTCACAATTCCTGACAGTTAATCCTAGTAAAAATTCCCTGTCATAGGTCAGTTAGGATCACCACTTTATTTTAAGAATGTGAAATGTCAGAATAATAGCAAAGAGAATGATTTATTTCAGCTTTTATTTCTTTCATCACATTCCCAATGGGTCAGAAGTTTACCTACACTCAATTAGTATTTGGTAACATTGCATTTAAATTGTTTAACTTGGGTCAAACATTTCGGGTAGCCTTCCACAAGCTTCCCACAATAAGTTGGGTGAATTTTGGCCCATTCCTCCTGGCAGAGCTGGTGTAACTGAGTCAGGTTTGTAGGCCTCCTTGCTCGCGCACGCTTTTTCAGTTCTGCCCACAAATTTTCTATAGGATTGAGGTCAGGGCTTTGTGATGGCCACTCTAATACCTTGACTTTGTTGTCCTTACGCCATTTTGCCACAACTTTGGAAGTATGCTTGGGGTCATTGTCCATTCGGAAGACCCATTTGCGACCAAGCTTTAACTTCCTGACTGATGTCTTGAGATGTTGCTTAAATACATCCACATAATTTTCCTTCCTCATGATGCCATCTATTTTGTGAATTGCACCAGTCCCTCCTGCAGCAAAGCACCCCCACAGCATGATGCTGCCACCCTCGTGCTTCACGGTTGGGATGGTGTTCTTCGGCTTGCAAGTCATCCCCTTTTTCCTCCAAACATAACGATGGTCATTATGGCCAAACAGTTTAAAAAAGAACGATCTTTGTCCCAATGTGCAGTTGCAAACCGTAGTCTGGCTTTTTTATGGCGGTTTTAGAGCAGTGGCTTCTTCCTTGCTGAGCGGCCTTTCAGGTTATGTCGATATAGGACTCATTTTACTGTGGATATAGATACTTTTGTACCTGTTTCCTCCAGTATCTTCACAAGGTCCTTTGCTGTTGTTCTGGGATTGATTTGCACTTTTCACACCAAAGTACGTTAATCTCTAGGAGACAGAACGCGTCTCCTTCCTGAGCGGTATGACGGCTGCGTGGTCCCATGGTTTTATACTTGCGTACTATTGTTTGTACAGATGAACGTGGTACCTTCAGGCGTTTGGAAATTGCTCCCAAGGATGAACCAGACTTGTGGAGGTCTACAATTCTTTTTCTGAGGTCTTGGCTGATTTCTTTTGATTTTCCCATGATGTCAAGCAAAGAGACACTGAGTTTGAAGGTAGGCCTTGAGATACATCCACAGGTATACCTCCAATTGACTCAAATTATGTCAATTAGCCTATCAGAAGCTTCTAAAGCCAAGACATCATTTTCTGGAATTTTCCAAGCTGTTTAAAAGGCACCGTCAACTGACCCACCGGAATTTTGATACAGTGAATTATAAGTGAAATAATCTGTCTGTAAACAATTGTTGGAAAAGTATTTGTGTCATGCACAAAGTAGAGGTCCTAACCAACTTGCCAAAACTATAGTTTGTTAACAAGAAATTTGTGGAGTGGATGAAAAACGAGTTTTAATGACTCCAACCTAAGTGTATGTAAACTTCCGACTTCAACTGTATAACATATATTTTGATTTGTTTGAACACTTTTTTGGTTACTACATGATTCCATATGTGTTATTTCATAGTTTTGATGTCTTCACTATTATTCTACAATGTAAAAAATAGTAAAAATAAAGAAAAACCCTTGAATGAGTAAGTGTGGCCAAACTTTTGACTGGTAGTGTACATGTATAGGGTTTCCAGAGCAGTTTTCCCAGAGTTTTTATAGATACTTTTAGGCACTTTGCTTCAGACTTTAATACAGATTGTAAGCGGTTCCTTTACTGAATTTCATGTTTTCTTTTTATAGTATATATGATCATCAGGCATTCTGGGTATTTCTAGACCCAGTACTGTCCTCTCCTGAAGTACCCTTCCCTTCCGGCCAGGCTCCGATATTCATTCCCCCACATTCATATTCCTCTCTCTGAAAATACTATTTCTGTAAGCCTCATCCTTCATTCCTAATCCCTAATAACATCCAGAATTCCTCCATCCCCTCTCCCTGAGAATCCTGACTTCCTCCATCCCCCTCCTCTCCTTGATAATCCTGACTTCATCCATCCCCCTCCTCTCCTTGATAATCCTGACTTCCTCCATCCCCTCCTCTCCCTGATAATACTGACTTCCTCCATCCCCTCCTCTCCCTGAGAATCCATGAAATGCTGTGTGAATCCTTCCCGTTCTGACTGCAGCCATTGAACCAGGCCTTTCACACAGAGTGTAGGGCTGTGCTCCCTCACTCCGCGCAGGCAGCACCCTCTTCCTTTCCCTCCCTCACTTTTGTCCTCTCTTGATTAAGATATCAAAGCGTTTTCAGCTCTAAAGAACTGTCTCTCTTTCGGAGTGTGTCTTTCTCTGTGTGTGTGTGTGTTTGTCTTTCTCTGAGTGTGTGTGTGTGTGTGTGTGTGTGTCTTTCTCTGAGTGTGTGTGTGTGTTTGTCTTTCTCTGAGTGAGTGTGTGTGTGACTTTCTCTGTGTGTGTGTGTGTGTGTGGTGCTTTTCAATCACTCCTTCCGCTCATTCCAGCTCCAATTACTTCATATTTCCAAATGACGATGAAAAGCTTTCATTTAAAGTGACAACTGGAAATGGGGAGGAAATCAAGGGCCTAAATGAAAAGGCAGAAAATTTAAGTTGCCCTTTTTTGGGAGGAAGGGGCGGCGGAGGGGAGGGGGTTTGGAGGGCTGCTGAGAGAGCCATAGAGCTGCAGGGAGGGAGGTTAGTGCGTTTGAAGACTAAGTAAATGAGATACAGCCTCGGTTGTAGCCGGACCCTCTGATTGACAAAGTCACTCTCTGACTGCCAGAAGTCCCCTGTCTGAACCACAAGGTGAGCGTTAAAACCACCCTCACGCTTCACGCCTGTGAAATTCCAATCTCCGCCAAGATGTCTTATTAACTAACACCTTGCTGCCTGTGTCTTTAGTGCAGAGAGAGAGAGAGAGAGAGATAGGAGATAGGGAAAGGGGAAAGGATAAAAGGAGAGAAAGAAGAGATAGAGAAGAAAGGGGGAGAGCGAAAAAAGATAGAAAAAAGAGAGAAAAATAAGAAAAAAAGAGGAAGGCTCCTTTTTTCCTATTTCAACGCCCCCAGTTTTTAAAAAATAATAACAAGGGCACCTTCCCCCCAAAAAGGTTTCCCCCCCCTTTCCCTCTCCCCCCTTTCCCCCTCCCCTCCCTCCCCTCTCTCCCGCTCCCCTCCCCCCCCCCCCTTCCCCTCCTCCGGTCCCCCCCCCCTTTTCCCCCCCCCCCTCCCTCTCCTCCCCCTTTTCTTCCCCCTTTCCCCCCCCCCCCCTCTCCCCCCCCCCCTTTTTTCTCCGCTCACCCCCCCCCCCTTTTCTCTCTCCCCCCCCTCCCCTTCCTCTCCTCTCCCCCCTCCCTCTCCCTCCCCCTCCTCCCCTCTCCTCTTCCTCTCTCTCTCCCCTCTCCTTCTCCCTCCTCCCCCCCGCTCTCCTCTTTTCCCTTCGCCCCCCCCCCCCTCCCCCGCCCCCCCCGCCGCCCCCCCCCGCCCCCCCCCCTCCCCTCCCCCTCCCCCCCTCCTTTGTTTCCCCCGCCCCCTCCCTCCCGCTCCCCCCTTTTCCCCCCCTTTTCCCCCTCCCCGCTTCCCCCCCCCCCCTCCCCCCTCCTCTCCCCTCTCCCCCCGCCCCCCCTCTCCCCCCTGCTCCCCGTCCTCTCCCCCCGCCCCCCCCCCTTTTCCCTCTCCCGCCCCCCCGTTTTCCCCCTCCCCCTTCCCTTTCGTCTCCCTCCTCTCCCCCCCCCTTTCCCCTCCCTCCCCCCTCTCCCCTCTTTCCCTCTCTCTTTTTTTTTTTTCCCCCCGCCTCCCCCTCCCTTTTTCCCTCTCTTCTCTCCCCCCCCTCCCCCTCCTCTGCCTCTCCCCCTCTCTCCCAAAACCCTTTTCTCCCACAACCTCTCCACCCCCGCTTCCCCCTCTATTTTTTCCCTCCCGAACCCCCCTCCCTCCTCTCTCTCCTCCTCTCTCTCTCTCTTCTTTCCCCTCTCCCTTCCCTTTTTTTTTTTTTCTCTCCTCCCCCCTCTCTCTCTCTCCCTCCTCTCTCTCCCTCTCCCTCCCTCCCTCCCTCTCCCTCCCCCCCCCCTTCCCCCCCTCTCTTCCCTCTCTCCCCTCCTCTTCTCCTCTCCTCCGTTCCTCCCTCTCTTCCCTTTTCTCTCTCTCTGCTCTCTCTCTTCTCCCTCCCCCCCTCCCTCTCTCTCTCTTCTCTCCCCCTCCCTCCCCCCCTCTCGTCTCCCCGCCCCCTTCCCTCCCCTCTTCTCCCCCCTTCTCTCTCTCCTCGCTCCCTTCGCTCCCCTCTTCTCCCCTCCTCCTCCCTCCCCCCCCGCCCCTTCTCCTCTCCCCCCTCCCTCTCCCCCCCCCCTCCTCCCCCCCCTTCCCCCTCTCTCTCCCTCCCCTCCCTCTTCCCTGCCCCCCCTCTTCCCCCCCCCCCCCTTAAGAAAAAAGGTCCCCTTTAAAATCTACCTTTTCCCTCCCCCCCCCCCAAAAAAAGTAAAAAAAATTTTCAAATTAAAAATTAATTCTTGTCAATGTTTTCCCACTGGCTATGGTAAATGCACCTTTTTTAAGCGCTCTGGATAAGACGTCTGCAAAATAACGTAAATGAAATGTAAATGTAAGAAAAAGGAGAAGGTGGAAACCCCCAAAAAAAGGGGGAAAGGAGAAAAAAATTTTTAAAAAACCCAAAAAAAAGGGGCAAAGAAAAAAACAAAAAAAAAAAAAAAAAAAATTTTTTTTTTTAAAAAGAGAAACCCGGAAATAATTAATGTAAATTCAAGTTGGCGGGGAAGTAAAACAAATATAAATAAACTAGGGTTGTCACGATACCAGTATCGAGATACTATGATACTTGATTTTCCCTGGCAAAAATGAAAACACAAAGCAGACTAAACAATTTGGTCATTTAAAAACCTGCTGTAACATATTGTGTGCTATAGCTTGGAAAATAATCATGTGATTCTGGGTGACAACATCAGGTTGCTTGTTTCCAACATTAGTACTGTTTCCCTTGAGGAAATGTAGTCTGCTTCATGTTGTGTTTCCTTGCTACGATACCTCTGAGTATCGCGATACTGGTATTGTGACAACCCTAAAACAAACACAGAACAACAATAACAACTAGTCCTATCAAGGGTGACAGAATACAATTATTGATAAAAGGGTTCAGGACTCCGAACGGCACTTCATTAACAGGGTTCTAAGCTCTTAATGCCGGTTAGAGCAGCATGTCTAAGTGCAAGCACATGTTAGTCTTATTGTCCCTGTAATGTTGATGCTCAAGGTGTGTGTGTGCTTGTCTGTTTGGAAGTGGGAGTGTGTGTATCTGCATAGATGTGAATCTGTGTGTATAATTTGTGTACAAAACATTAGGAACACCTTCCTAATATTGAGTTGCACCCCCCTTTGCCCTCAGAACAGCCTCAATTTGTCGGAGCATGGACTCTACAAGGTGTCAAAAGTGTTCCACAGGGATGCTGGCCCATGTTGACTCCAATGCCTCCCACAGCTGTGTCAAGTTTGCTGGATGCCCTTTGGGTGGTGGACCATTCTTGATATACACGGGAAACTGTTGAGCCTGAAAAACCCAGCAGCGTTGCCCGTCACCTACTACCATACCCCATTCAAAAAGGCACTTAAATCTTTTGTCTTGCCCATTCACCTTCTGAATGGCACACATGCACAATCCATGTCTCAATTGTCTGAAGGCTTAAAAATCCTTCTTTAACCTGTCTCCTTCCCTTCATCTACACTGATAAAAATGTGCTTAACAAGTCACATAATAAGTTGCATGGATTCACTCTGCGTGCAATAATAGTGTTTAACGTGATTTTTGAATGACTACCCCATCTCTGTACCTCACACATACAATTATCTGTAAGGTCCCTCAGTCGAGCAGTGAATTTCAAACACAGATTCAACCACAAAGACCAGGGAGGTTTTCCAATGCCCTGCAAAGAAGGGCACCTATTGGTAGATGGGTAAAATAAATAAAAAGCTGACATTAAATATCCCTTTGAGCATGGTGAAGTGATACTGAAAAAAAATATAAACGCAACATTTAAAGTGTTGGTCCCATGTTTCATGAGCTGAAACAAAAGATCCCAGAAATGGTCCATGCGCACAAAAAGCTTATTTGAAATGTGTTAAGTTAAGCATTTCATGGCTGTGATACGAGAAAACTGAGGATGGATCAACAATATTGTAGTTACTCCGCAATACTAACCTAAATGACAAAGTGAAAAGAAGGAAGCCTGTACAGAATAAATATTCCAAAACATGCATCCTGTTTGCAATAAGGCACTAGCATAACGGCAAAAAAAATGGCAAAGAAATTAACTTTGTCCTGAATACAAAGCGTTATGTTTGGATCAAATCCAACACAACACATCACAAAGAAACAGAATAGAGCTAAACACAGGCTAAATCCTAGAGTAAAACCTGGTTCAGACTGCTTTCCAACAGACACGTAGACAAATTCACCTTTCAGCAGAACAATAACCTAAAACACAAGGCCAAATATACACTGGAGTTGCTTACCAAGATGACATTAAATGTTCCTGAGTGGCCTAGTTACAGTTTTGAATTAAATCCTTGAAAATCCATGGCAAGACTTGAAAATGGCTGTCTAGCAATGATCAACAACCAACTTGACAGAGCTTAAAGCCAGACTCAGTCAGTGTCAGTTCGAAATCAGCTACGTCAGTTTGTTTACATTCATTATTTGTTATATTGGGGCGACATAACAAATGAATGGAAAGTGTTTGTGTCAGACGTACACAGCGAGGCTATCTGAATCATTATTCTGATGATGGCTAATTTACATAAGATAATTGTATATTTTATTCCAAAAAGTACTCTTGCCAGTATCATGGTTATAGTCCGACAGGATTGACTGAAAGGCTAAACGGCACTCTGGCAGAGTGACAGTTGAGTTGTTAGCATCACTCAGCGCGTGAAAAAATTAAACCAATCCTGAAGGGGGAAAATAGAAAAAAGGCCCGGTATTTCCAATGCTGTGCCGTCAAAGCACTGAATAGGTCAAATTAAGACTTAATATCTCTTATTTGAGAGATATAAACCAACATCAAAAATTAATTACTTTATTTTGCACTTACCGAGTCTTGCTTTGAGGATATTTTTTTAAGAACAATGTACTTATGTAAATTCAATATTTCTGTATTTCATTTCCAATACATTTGCTAAAATTTCTAAAAACATGTTTTCACTTTGTCATTATGGGGTATTGTGTGTAGATGGGTGAACAACAACAATATTTAATCTATTTTGAATTCAAGGCTGTAACACAAAATGTGGAATAAGTCAAGGGGTATGAATACTTTCTGAAGGCACCGCATGTATGTGTGAGTGCATGTGTATAATGTGTGTGTGTACGTGTTTGTGTGTGCATGTGTGTGGGTGCACATATGTGTGTGTGTCCAGTGGGCTCACCTCGGGGATCCATAAGGCACAGCTGACATGGACCCACTTGGTTCCACTGCGGGTGGGCTTCAGGGCTCCGCCTCTCTTGGGGCACAGCAGGCATTTGGGTTGCACCCCTAGGGCACAGGTTCGGCACAGCCAGTTCCCCTGTGGGACCTTCAGGATCCCATAACACGCCTGGGGAGAGACGGAGGGGTGGGGGAGGAAAGGGAGAGAGGCGGAGGAGACGAGGGAGAGAGGCGGAGGAGACGGAGAAGGAGAGGGAGGAAGACAGAGGAGAGAGGGGGAGGAGGAGACAGAGGAGAGAGGAGGAGGAGACAGAGGAGAGAGGGGCAAGAGACAGAGGAGAGAGGGAAGGGGGGAGGAGACAGAGGAGAGAGGGAGAGGGGGGAGGAGACAGAGGAGAGAGGGGGAGGAGACAGAGAGAGGGGGAGGAACTATTTTCAAACATGTCAAAACAGTGTTGAACGGAGGAGGTGGATAGAGCTGTATGACTGCCAGAGGATTGTCAAACCAATTAACACCATTCCACCCAATAAAAAAACAGTAGTCTGAAAAACTAACGCATGAGGTTGATGGGTCTATTTCTTGGATGTATTTTTCTTGCTGTTTATAATTGTCAAAAACCCAGAATAATATTTTAATTCCAATAACAGGGAGATTTTCTCTAAGATCTGACAGTTGAAGGAGGTAAGGAGTCAAAGGAAGGAGAGAGTATAGTATCCAGTTTCTCCCCGTAACTATAAACAAACAATCGCCAATTAACACCTTTGACCTTTATGTCCTTCTTGTCATGACCCCAAAGAACTACAAATCCCACCCATCCCCAATCGCCCCCTGACCCCAAACAAAACACCCTCAATACGACCCAAACTGACTTAACCCTCTATACACTTACACCCTCTTCCATCAAGAAGACACTGTTAATACCCCTAGAACATCTACTTGTCCCGTCCTCTTCACCCAGCAAAACATCCCACCTCCACCACCACATCCACCCTTCCCTGTACCCGTCCTCTTCACCCAGCGAAACATCCCACCTCCACCACCACATCCACCCTTCCCTGTACCCGTCCTCTTCACCCAGTGAAACATCCCACCTCCACCACCACCTCCATCCTTCCCCGTACCCGTCCTCTTCACCCAGCAAAACATCCCACCTCCACCACCACATCCACCCTTCCCTGTACCCGTCCTCTTCACCCAGCAAAACATCCCACCTCCACCACCACATCCACCCTTCCCTGTACCCGTCCTCTTCACCCAGCCAAAAACATCCCACCATCCCACCACCACATCCACCCTTCCCTGTACCCGTCCTCTTCACCCAGCAAAACATCCCACCTCCACCACCACATCCACCCTTCCCTGTACCCGTCCTCTTCACCCAGCAAAACATCCCACCTCCACCACCACATCCACCCTTCCCTGTACCCGTCCTCTTCACCCACCGAAACATCCCACCTCCACCACCACATCCACCCTTCCCTGTACCCGTCCTCTTCACCCAGCAAAACATCCACCTCCACCACATCCACCACCACATCCATCCTTCCCTGTACCTGATGTACGCAGATGTTGCACTTGTCACAGAAGACCATCTCGTTGCCGTCCTCTCCCTCTGGGGATCGACACACGTCACACACCACGTCTTCGTCGTACTCGATGCCCAGGCCCTCCTCCGTCTCGATGGCCTGCTGCATGTTCTCCTCACACTGGCTCTCCAGCTCCACCAACACACGCTCCATGGTCAGCTCGTCCAGCTCCGGCAGCGCTGAGGGGGAGTGAAGGAGAGAGAGTAGGGTCAGTGTCAGACACTGGGTTGGGACGTGGGTCAGAGTCAGTCTATGATACGTTTGGAAGAGAAGGACAGAGAGTCTAGTTAAGGGTCACAGCTAGTCACATAGTTTTGCACACACTGTATATATATTTTCTGTTGTATTTTTTGACTTTGTGTTTTTTTACCCCATATGTAACTCTGTGTTGTTGTTTTTATCGCACTGCTTTGCTTTATCTTGGCCAGGTCGCAGTTGTAAATGAGAACTTGTTCTCAACTGGCTTACCTGGTTAAATAAAATAAATAAACATCACCTATGGAAATCTATATATCTGACTCTAGTACCTGGATTGACACGTGTATTGCGCTGTGTCTCTTTCATTTCTCTTTCGTTTGCTTTACATTTTGTACTATTAAACCCTGGCTATAAATGTATCTTGTACTTCTTCAAATTCTTGCCCTGTTCCAACTGCCACAAACAAAAGCAACTGTCCATGTGTCAAACCAAGGCTGCGTTCTGATCTTTTGCCACTTAATTGGTCTTTTGACCAATCCAATCAAATCTTTTGGCAATAAATTGGGCAAAAGATCAGAATTGGGCTGCCTGTGTAATGCAGCCAAAGTCTTATAAGTACTGGTAAAAGACCTGTCATGGGTTACATACAGTGCCGTGAAAAAGTATTTGCCCCCTTTCTGATTTTCTCTATTTTTGCATATTTTTTATACTGAATGTTATCAAATCTTCAACCAAAACCTAATATTAGATAAAGGGATCCTGAGTTTTACAAATAACAAAAAAAATGGATACTAATTGTATTTAATTAACAAAGTTATGCAACACCCAATTCCCCTGTGTGAAAAAGTACTTTAGCTGCAATGACTGCAACCAAATGCTACCTTTAGTTGTTGATCAGTCTCTCACATTGCTGAGGAGGAATTTTGGCCCACTCTTGCATTCAGAACTGCTTTAACTCAGCGACATTTGTGGGTTTTCAAGCATGAACTGCTCGTTTCAAGTCCTGCCACAACATCTCAATTGGGATTAGGTCTGGACTTTGACTAGGCCATTCCAAAACTTAAAATGTGTTGCTTTTTAACCATTTTCATGTAGACTTGATTGTGTGTTTTGGATCATTGTCTTGCTGCATGACCCAGCTGCGCTTCAGCTTCAGCTCACAGATGGATGGCCCGACATTCTCCTGTAGAATTCTCTGATAATTCTCCTGTAGAATTATCTGATAGAGCAGAATTCATGGTTCCTTCTATTATGGCAAGTTGTCCAGGTCCTGAGGCAGCAAAGCATCCCCAAACCATCACACTTCCACCACCATGCTTGACCGTTGGTATGAGGTTCTTACTGTGGAATGCAGTGTTTGGTTTTCAACAGACATAAATGGGACCCATCTAGTCCAAAAAGTTGACTCAAGTTTTCCAAAAAGCACCTGGATGATCATCAAGACTCTTGGAAGAATGTTCTATGGACAGATGAGTCAAACGTATAACTTTTTGGACGACATGGGTATGTAAGTATGTCATTGTTGTGTTATTTGTTCACTCAGGTGTCCTTTATCTAATATTAGGTTTTGGTTGAAGATCTGATAACATTCAGTATCAAAAATATGCAAAAGTTCAGAAAATTAGAAAGGGGCCAAATACTTTTTCACAGCACTGTACATACGGGCTTCAGTGATTAAAGACTCATTGTTTTTAAAAGCAAACCAGTAGGAAGCTGAGTTTAGTTACCCATTAACTTCCGAGCCTCTGACATTTACATCTTGTAAATAAGGGAGCAGCTAGAGGAACAAACATTACAGTCGTAACATTTGCATGTACATGCATAACTGTGTCTGAGAGAATGAGAGCGAGAGATAAATGGAGAGGGATATTGGTAGAGGGAGAGAACAAGAGAGAGAGATCGAAAGAAAGCATTCTCTTCATCTTTTCTATCTCAGCCTATCGTTGCAATGTGACCTCATAACCCAGCAGCAATCACGCAAGTGGTCCTCTGTAGCTCAGCTGGTAGAGCACAGCGCTTGTAACGCCAAGGTAGTGGGTTCGATCCCCGGGACCACCCGTACACAAAAAAATGTATGCACGTATGACTGTAAGTCGCTTTGGATAAAAACGTCTGCTAAATGGCATATTATTATTATTATATTATTATTATTGTTTAGTCTAGCCATTGGGGTTATGAGAAGCAACTCATTTCAGCTGGAACACACCAAACGCACATTTGGGGGGGAAAAACGATTTCATAATCTTTTAAAAAGCAGAGTAAATAAACCCGGCCTGAGGGATTTTAAAATGCAATTATTTTTCAAATCTATAAGCGCAAAATCCGATTACAAATAAACAGTGTCTGCGATGTAGAGAGCCAGATAGACAGAGAGTGGTTGGGTGGCTGGCAGAGACCCAGGACTCAACAGTGGGAAGATCCCTCTGTGTGGACATACAGAGGATAAGGAGGCACACCCTTCTGACCCACAGAACTGACGGCTGTATTATAGGTCAGACGTGTGGGGGCAATTAAACAGAGTTGTGCAGTAGTGAAGTTGGATTGAGGAATACTGTGTGTGTGTGAGCCTGCAGTTTAAAGTTTTGACGAGGCAGGGTGACACACAGGAGTCGATGTGGTACAGTCATACGGTGGTAACATGGTAAGACTGTAACAACATTGTCATAGAACAGCATGTAGAATGCTGATAGTGGTAGAGAACATAAACCTAGGGGAGAGCATTTGTTACCTCAAGCAGGTGATATAGGGATGAATGAGTGACTGACTGAATGACTGAGAATAAACCAAGTTGTTTTAGTAGCTCTGGCATCATATTCTAGCATAAATGCTCAAATTAACAGATGTAACAAAACAAAAGGCTAATAAAGTCCTGTTGTTGATTTGAGGGTTGCATCCCAAATACAACCCTATTCCCCTATATAGTGCACAACCTCTTACTAGAGCCCTATGGACCCTGGTCAAAAGTAGTGCACTACATAGGGAATAGGGTGCCATTTGGGACTCAGAAAGTATCTTACCAAGTTCTCTGAACTCCAGGTTAACCAGCTTCAGCCAGGACACGTCTATGTCATCCAGGTCATAGCGGCTGTGGGGCTCATTGGTGGTCTTCATGTCCCCCTGGCCCAGACCCAGGCCCAGTTCACACCCCCGGCCCTGCCCTGGCCAGTAGAACGGCATACGCCCCACCTCTGGTAGCATCCTGTCAACACACACAGAAAAACTAACTATTTTGTACTTTCATGAACTCTGAGTGAAACATTTTAAGTAAGCAGTGAAACATGTACAGTGAGCAGTGAAACGTGTACAGTGAGCAGTGAAACGTGTACAGTGAGCCGTGAAACATGTACAGTAAGCCGTGAAACCTATACAGTGAGCAGTGAAACATGTACAGTGAGCAGTAAAATGTATATACAGTGAGCCGTGAAACATGTACAGTGAGCAGTGAAATGTATATACAGTGAGCAGTGAAACGTATACAGTGAGCAGTGAAACGTATACAGTGAGCCGTGAAACATGTACAGTAAGCCGTGAAACCTATATACAGTAAGCAGTGAAACCTATATACAGTGAGCAGTGAAACGTGTACAGTGAGCAGTGAAACGTGTACAGTGAGCAGTGAAACGTGTACAGTGAGCAGTGAAACGTGTACAGTGAGCAGTGAAATGTGTACAGTGAGCAGTGAAACGTGTACAGTGAGCAGTGAAACGTGTACAGTGAGCAGTGAAACGTATACAGTGAGCAGTGAACCGTGTACAGTGAGCAGTGAAATTTATATACAGTGAGCAGTGAAACGTGTACAGTGAGCAGTGAAACGTGTACAGTGAGCAGTGAAACGTGTACAGTGAGCAGTGAAACGTATACAGTGAGCAGTGAAACGTGTACAGTGAGCAGTGAAATTTATATACAGTGAGCAGTGAAACATGTACAGTGAGGAATAAGGATATAAACATTTGAGGTCAAACAGATGCTTGGACTTGAGTCAGACTCCATGAGTCATGGATACATCATTAATCATTCTTCCTTTATTCAGGATTACATAGACACACATTAACACACTCAGGCACAGGTGCGCGCACGCACACACACACACACACACACACGCGCACACACACGCGCACAGACACAAATGTCACACACAGACATGATAAGTATCAGACAGCGAGAAACAGACCCTCGGTTATGACAGTCATCTCCTAGATCGTCATCACAGCATCATCACATTAACAGTGTCATTCTGAGGAGCCATCATTGAAATGATCACTTGGGTGTCATTGAGACAGTGACAACCTTCCTGACAGACCTAGACAGACAACCCTGATTGACCAGCACTAACAACCCTCCCTAGCCACAGGCCCCGGCAGCCCACATGGCACCCTATTTCCTTGTAGTGCACTACTTTTGACCAGGGCCCATAGGTCTCTCTGGTGAAAAGTAGTGCACTATATAGGGAATAAGGTGCCATTTGGGACGCAGCCAGTGACATCATGATGACCTGCCTACAGTAAACAACACTGATGGACCAGCCCTAACAACCCTCCCTGTCCTCCGTCCAATACACAGGCCCTGTGTTGTGTGTCTGTCCAGACATGGGGATGTATTAGTAGTAGAGAGAGTGAGTAAAGCTGCAGTCATCATCACCTCCCTCTCGGCACCTCAGGTCCTTCTCACTGTGGGTTCAGGTAGACCCACTGGGACGGGAGCCTGTAAAGATCTCTCTCTCTCGCACACGCATACATAAAACACACACACACACACACACACACCAACGCTAGTTCCCAGACCAGCCCACGGGAGTTTTCCAGTTCTATCAGTGTGCACACAAACACACACATGCATGACAAACACCTCGTCATCTCCTCCACCTGGTCCTTAAATCGTGACCTTTGAGTGAAAGGAAGTGGTGTGATAATTGTACATTTAACATTTTAGTCATTTATCAGATGCTCTTATCCAGAGAGACTTACAGGAGCAATTAGTGTTACGTGCCTTGCTCAAGGGCACAGCGACAGATTTTTCACCAAGTCAGCCCGGGGATTCGAACCAGCGACCTTTCGGTTACTGGCCCAAAGCTCTTTACCGCTAGGCTTCCTGCCAGACTCTGCCTCTATCTCTCTGTCTCTTATCTTAAACAGGTCATCATCCTCATCACCATAGCTCCTGCCTCACTGCGTCGGAGGGTGGGTACCAGTCACACTGAGTCCTGAATGACATCATATTCCCTATGGGCTCTGGTCAAAAGTAGTGCACACTATAGGGAATAGGGTGCCATCTGAGACGCACCCACACGGTGCTCTCCTCACTTCCTCCACTTCCCTGACCGACACGTCTGATGTAAAACCATGCAAATAATGTGAGGCCTGAAAAGTCCCCAGGCAGATGCTTTACTGCTGCCTGCTGGCAGCCTGCTCTCTCCCTCCGCACACTCTGATCTCCAATCGTTGCCAGCCCAACTGGCAACGATCACTGACTGCAGATGACGTAGTGTTTCTATGGCTGACTGTAGATGACGTGGTATTTCTATGGCTGACTGTCGATGACGTGGTGTTTCTATGGCTGACTGTAGATGACGTGGTATTTCTATGGCTGACTGTAGATGACGTAGTGTTTCCATGGCTGACTGCAGCCGACGTAGTGTTTCTATGGCTGACTGCAGCTGACGTAGTGTTTCTATGGCTGACTGCAGCCGACGTAGTGTTTCTATGGCTGACTGCAGCCGACGTAGTGTTTCTATGGCTGACTGTAGACAACGTTGTGTTTCTATGGCTGACTGTAGCTGACGTAGTGTTTCTATTGCTGACTGTAGATGACGTAGTGTTTCCATGGCTGACTGCAGCCGACGTAGTGTTTCCACGGCTGACTGCAGCCGACGTAGTGTTTCTATGGCTGACTGTAGCTGACGTAGTGTTTCTATGGCTGACTGTAGACGACGTAGTGTTTCTATGGCTGACTGTAGACGACGTGGTGTTTCTATGGCTGACTGCAGCCGACGTGGTGTTTCTATGGCTGACTGTAGACGACGTGGTGTTTCCATGGCTGACTGTTGACGACGTGGTGTTTCTATGGCTGACTGTAGACGACGTGGTGTTTCTATGGCTGACTGTAGACGACGTGGTGTTTCTATGGCTGACTGTAGCTGACAGTGTTTCTATGGCTGACTGTAGATGACGTAGTGTTTCCATGGCTGACTGCAGCTGACGTAGTGTTTCCATGGCTGACTGCAGCTGACGTAGTGTTTCTATGGCTGACTGTAGCTGACGTAGTGTTTCTATGGCTGACTGTAGACGACGTAGTGTTTCTATGGCTGACTGTAGACAACGAGGTGTTTCTATGGCTGACTGCAGCCGACGTGGTGTTTCTATGGCTGACTGTAGACGACGTGGTGTTTCCATGGCTGACTGTTGACGACGTGGTGTTTCTATGGCTGACTGTAGACGTGGTGTTTCTATGGCTGACTGTAGACGACGTGGTATTTCTATGGCTCACTGTAGACGACGTGGTGTTTCTATGGCTGACTGTAGCTGACGTGGTGTTTCTATGACTGACTGTAGACAACGTAGTGTTTCTGTGGCTCACTGTAGACGACGTGGTGTTTCTATGGCTTACTGTAGATGACGTAGTATTTCTATGGCTGACTGTAGAGGAAGTAGTATTTCTATGGCTGACTGTAGATGACGTAGTATTTCTATTGGTGACTGTAGATGACGTAGTGTTTCTATGGCTAACTCTGGATGACTTGTTAAGGGAAACCACAGGGGCGAGGTGAAAGAACGGTGTGTTCTCTCTTGCCAGGGTCACATGTCCTGAACACAGGCTACAGAAACAATGAGGGAGAGAGTACAGAGACCGAGAGAAAACAGAACGAGGGTTGGGCAGGAGGGCGAGATGAGTCTGGTGGACCTTCCCACTTGGCCTTGTATCCCGTATACAAGGTATAAATAACCCTTTAGTCTATTCGCCAGATCAGGAGACACCACCTTGTGAAACACCTCCCAGTCCTCATTCCTGTATTCCACTTCTAAGGTTTGTTGTGTATATTCTTCTCCTTCGGCTAAGGTGTGGAGCTTCACTCTACAGGCCATGTAATCAAAAGCATATCCCCACAGTTGGCCATTAGACATAACCGTTACGGGAGATATTTGGGTTCTCTACAAATGTAGAAAAAGCTTTTTTGGAGCATCATACACTACATGGCCAACATCTCATTCTAACATCATGGGCATTAATATGGAGTTGGTCCCCCCTTTGCTGCTATAACAGCCTCCACTCTTCTAGGAAGGCTTTCCACTAGATGTTGGAACACTGCTGCGAGGACTTGCTTCCATTCAGCCACAAGAGCATTAGTGAGGTCGGGCACTGATGTTTGGCGATTAGGCCTGGCTCGCAGTCGGCGTTCCAATTCATCCCGAAGGTGTTCGATGGGGTTGAGGTCAGGGCTCTGTGCAGGCCAGTCAAGTTCTTCTACACCGATCTCGACAAACCATTTCTGTATGGACCTCGCTTTGTGCAAGGGGGCATTGTCATGCTGAAACAGGAAAGGGCCTTCCCTAAACTGTTGCCACAAAGATGGAAGCAAAGAATCGTCTAGAATGTAATCGTATGCTGTAGCATTAAGATTTCCCTTCACTGGAACTAAGGGGCCTTGGTCTGAACTATGAAAAACAGCCCAAGACCATTATTCCTCCTCCACCAAACCTTACAGTTACCACTATGCATTGGGACAGGTAGCGTTCTCCTGGCATCCACCAAACCCAGATTAGTCCGTCGGACAGCCAGATGTTGAAGCGTGAGTCATCACTCCAGAGAACGCGTTTCCACTGCTCCAGAGTCCAATGGGGGCGAGCTTTACACCACTCCAGCCGACGCTTGGCATTGCGCATGGTGATCTTAGGCTTGTGTGCGGCTGCTCAGCCATGGAAACCCATTTCATGAAGCTCCCGACGAACAGTTATTGTACTGACGTTGCTTCCAGAGGCAGTTTGGAACTCTGTAGTGAGCGTTGCAACCGAGGACAGACAATTTTTACGCGCTACGCGCTTCAGCACTTGGCGGTCACGTTCTGTGAGCTTGTGTGGCCTACCACATCGCGGCTGAGCCGTTGTTGCTCCTAGACGTTTCCACTTCTCAATAACAGCACTTACAGTTGACCAGGGCAGCTCTAGCAGGGCAGAAATTTGACGAACTGACTTGTTGGAAAGGTGG